GCCTATTAATGAGGTCGACCAAGGAGATCAGTTGCATATCAGCTGCTCATTAAGTTTGCTGTCAAACTCCATTATTGTGAATTGTCTTCCATTATGAAAACGTAAACAAAGTCCGAATTGTTGACATTAGACTTGTGGGAACACCGGTGACATTCGCTTGCTGTGTGACCTCATTGATAGATCTTGGATTAATTCTCTTGACATACCTTCATAAAAAGGCACATTATAGATGCAATTTTTTACGGGATTTTACTGTGGATTAAATTTCTAATATGCCTTTCCTAGAAAATATTGTTTTAAGAAAACCAAATTGTTTTTATATATATTTATATACCATGCGTTTATATAAAACTTGTTTTAATAAAACAGTTGGCGTGTGCAAGCGAAGCAGTTATTATTGCAAAATTTTACGACTTTTTTTATTAGCCAAACCTCACGACATTTTATTACCTTCCGAAGTTTGTGTGGAATAATTCTATTAATTTTTCTCTATATGTGTATATATATACATATTTCTTTAAGAATTTACAATATTTTTTCAAAGGCACGTGCCAAATATTTTATTATTTGCCTTTTTTTAATTGCTTATTTTTAATTTGCCTGCCAATCTCAACAAATTTTTTCGATTTTTCAGATTTCTTAAATACCCAATTTCTACAAACTTTTTTTTCCATTTTTTTACCACTACCAATAAAGAGAAAATATTTCAATATTTCGTTAAAATGCAATATCTAATTATATCTGTAAAGTAATTTAATGTATGTATGTAAATGTGTGTATAGTTTTATATTCATTCGCGAGCATGCATGTGTTTGAATACAATTTATAAACGAAACATGCCAGAGAACAATAACCAGCTGTGGAATTTTCCATTCATTATGGTTAGCAAAAAAATTAAAGAAAAAATCGCATAGAAGCTTTAACCCATTTAAGGGTTGATTTTAAACCTTTGTGAGCTGTTGAGGCAAATACAGTTTTTATTTGATTTAATGTGTGTTTTATTCTATATACGATATTCAAACATGTTTGAGGGCAATATATATGCTAAGTCAATATCTCTTATTAAGGTGACCAGATCTCTTATTAAGGTGACTAGCGAAAGTTAGCTGTTTCTTTTTTCAAGTTTAATGTCAAAAATTTTCACTTTGTTTACGTTTTTATAATGGAAGTCTATTCACAATAATGGATTTTGACAGTAAACTTGAGAGGCAGCTGATCTCCCAAGATGACCTTATTTATAGGCCTTGTGCTAAACTGTCAAAACAATCAGCTCGTTCTTGCTTCGGCAGAACATATACTAAAATTAGAAAACAAACAGCTGATTTGATTTTCATCCAGCTGTAAAAGCTAACAACTGATTTAATTCACATTTTTTTCCCTATATATTTTTCTATAAAGAGTGGTAATCAAGATACAATCTATTATAAGCTACACTTAAAATAAAGAAAGAACCCCAAGTTCCAAATCCCACACCTTTACTTTTGACACTATAAAACTCTATATAAAACACGACAAATTTCAGAGGCAATTATAGATATTACATTGTCTTTATCCCTCAGTATATGGTTTCATATGATCCCTACTGACTTACCTTCCACAAAAAACCACTTGTTTGAAGCACATGCCACTTTAAATTTCATGAATCCATTAAACCCGAATGTTTACATGTTAAGCTATAGATTAAAATCTCCAAACACTTGAAGTGTGTTTGCATAATTTAATGCCATTTTTTCTAAGCTTAAGTAATGAAGATGAAATGTATAATATTTTTAGATTACACATTACATGTTATATAATATGCTGACACCTCAATGTTTTTTGTTTTCTATACACTTGAAAGCGATCAGCTGTTTGTATATACTTACATCATTTCCTCATTGTAAACAATTTGAAAAATAAAACGGCAATTGCATTTAGTTCGTCATTTTCGTTACGCATGACGTTAAATTCGCACATACATGGCGCGTCATTACAAAACAGCCCGGCAGCATGGACCATGGCAAAGAAAAATCTATTTATTTCAGTGAACTAAAAAGCGGGTTAATTGCATGAATGAATTGAAAACATTGCTGTGAAATCTTTCTTGATTTCTTTGTTCAGAAAAAAATCGCTACATTTGTGATTTTCAATTATGTACTTGCCAGCCAGCCACCAGCCGGCCAATTCAATTCCCCACAATTGGTACTTTAAAACATCGTAATGTATATTTGTATATCCGTACATATCTACATATGCACTCATTTATGTTTACACAACGGCATTGACATTGTTCTGCATGTTCGTATTTCGCTACGTGTCGTTTTTTCGTCTCTGATTTCTGGTTTTTGTGTCTCTCACTCTGACGTCGTTATTGTACGAAGCAAAGTAAGTTGTTCTCTAGTATTACAAATATAGAGTTCAGTGTCTTTTGGAGAGATGAACTATTCCGGTAGATTATTGTGAATGACAGGTAATCAATAGTAGATACCTAGAAATGTCATTTACATCATGAATAGATTGTCATATTCTGTGCAGTAGATGACTGATGACGTCTTGTGCTCTACAAATGTCATCTAATATAGAGTAGCAAGATCTATTAATAAGGTCACCCAGCTAGCGAAAGTCAGCTGTTTTTTTTTTAAGTCTAATGTCAAAAATGTGGACTATGCTTACGTTTTTATAAGAGAAGTCAATTCACCATAATGGATTTTGACAGCAAACTTTAGAGGTAGGTGATATCCAGCTGGTCTCCCCGGATGACCTTATTTATAGGCCTTGATAGAGTAAGTTACAAGCAAGGCCTATTAAAAAGGACACCGAGAAAAAAACAACTGTTTTTCGCAATAATATAAAAAATGTGAACGTTGTTTAGATTTTCAGAATTTGAAGTCAATCCAAAATAATGCATTTTGACAGCAAACTTGAAGAGCAGCTGATATGCAGCAGATCTTATCAGCTTATTGGACATCAGCTGATTAATACATCTAACCAGATTGTGTTAATCAGCTGATGCATGCTCCTGATCTGACCACCAGTCTTCTGCTTTATTATTCTTCAACAGATTTATGACAATTCTGGCCTCATATTGGCTAGTTGGTACACTCTATAATGTCATCTTCTATTGGTCATGGGATATCTTCTTCATCGTTACTAAAGCTTTGCAAAATACTACTTTCAGATCCATAACATGTTATCAGAATTTGTCACCTGATTTCCTTCTTCATCTCTACAGGAGAATGTGCCTGGTTCGTCTAATATCCGAGATTTATTTTAAATCCTGTACGTTTCCGATCAAGACCTAATAATAATAAGGTCACCCAGCAAGCGAAATCAGCTGACTCTTGTCATGTCTAATGAGAAAAATGTGGACTTTGCTTACGTTTTCATACTGAAAGTTAATTCACAATAATGGATTTTGACAGCAAACTTGAAAGCAGCTGATATCTAGCTTGTCTCCCTGGATGAGATCAGGCCTTGATATCGATTAGCTAACTCTTTCCTCGTTCTTATTTTTTAAATAAGTTTCTTTTTGCTTCTTTTCTCCCTCATAATTATCTCTCGCATTACGTGTTGTTGATGGGTACAGGGTTGCCATATACGATGCGGTTTACTATGATGGTGTAGATCAATATAAATGCCATCTTTTGAGTAGTGGTGTGAGTAGTAGTGAGGCAATCTACTATCCCTTTAGAATTCTTCTTCAAATTTACATACATATATGACATAAAGCACGTCTCATTTACCGTACGTTTATATCATCCTCGTGTGTAAGTATATCACATTTTCTCTTCCAATCGGACTATGGACTTCTTTTCTAAATAATTTTATTGTCCCAGATATTTTTTTCTAATTGAATCCACAAGAAACAAAGTCCACAACAGAAAATTGGTCAACATGACCTACCCTACCTCATAAAAACTTAAACGAGGTTTCCAATTAGAACCAATGTAACGGCGTAACCAATTGTAACAATAACGGCTTAGATGTTCATCCAATTCGTTCCAATTGTCTCTGTGTGACAAAACAATTGACAGCTAGCTAGTATATTGTCATTTGGACTTTGCCTAGAGAGAATCTATTAATACTAGCCGTTAGACTTTATGAGAGGGCTAGAGATGGCGTGGGAAGGGTGAGAAGAAATGTCTACTTGATGAATATGTTCTGCTTAACATTGTCGGCATCGATTTAAATGACATTGACAAGATATTGATGATACATTTAAATGTCGGAATTATACAGTGGAACCTCTCAATATGTCAATAATTTTTAAAGCTACAATTACATCGTCACTCAGCAAGCGAAAGTCAGCTGTTATTTCTCAAGTCAAATGTCAAAAATATGGACTTTGTTTACGTTTTCATAATGGAAGTCAATTCACAATAATAGATTTTGACAGAAAACTGAATCTGCAGGAATTCTCTATTAATCGAAATTGTTTTGGATTTCTTCCGTTTTGCGTACGGGAACAGACCAAATATAAAGGGCTTCTTTTGAAAAATATTAAAACCCTTAAAAGAAAGGATCCACTTTAACATGACGAGAACTATAACGACAATAAATTTAAAACAAAGAGTCAATCAGAAGTTGGTATTCCTATTTTTAATCGAACAAATTTTTTGAAGAAGATAACATATTTTTAATAGGTCACTTTCCATAGAAGTTGAGTCTGTAGGACTTCTCCACTTTTAAGTTTCATTTTTAATTAAGGTTTTCCAGTAAAACAGTTGTGGATTCTGCAGGGCTTCTATATATACAATACCTTCTATACATTCGATCCCTTTTTACAATGAAACAAATATACTTTTTTTTTGTAATAATAAATAAATATTTTAAATTTATTTTCATTTTAATTATCTTGGTTTTCTTTAAATATTTAAAATATAAATATATGTAAAAATAAATATAAAAAATCAATAACTAAAAATTAAATAATTTACAAACTAAACTGGTACAAGGTTTCATTCCTTTATTCATTCTTTATTTTATTTTTGAATTTAAGTAAATCACTCGACTCTCTTCCCTCAATCCTCTCTCGCCACAACTTTAACTTGTTCCATTTCCGAAGAATTCTCTTCCTTTTTTCCGGCACCCGCCAACGATTGTTTCAACCCCACTAATTTTTCACTTTCCTGCCATAACCATTCAGTCATTTCCGTATCCTTGGCCCTAGGCAGCACAGGGAATCTCAACATATTATAGTAAAAACCACCCGTAACACATTCCAATTTCGGATCCAATGCCAAAAACAGTGACGTTTGGGCGCCAGCTTTGGGTGAACGGATAAATATGTCAATAACAGTCTTAACCACATTCCATGTCTTGGGACAGGTATTGTAACGCATCAGCTCGGTACGAACAATGCCAGGATGTAGGCAATTCACTGTCACCTTGGAATCTTTTAGAAGTTCACTCAGCTTCCTTGTGAACAAAATGTTGGCCAGTTTACTCTGCGAATAGGCGCCAAAGAATTTTGAATAGGATTTTTCACTCATCAAATCCTGTTTGTTGATACGACCAAAGACATAGGCAGCCGAACTGACCACCACCACACGACTGGGTGCAGCAGCCTTCAGGCGATCCACCAGCAGGTTTGTCAGCAGAAAATGACCCAAATGATTGATGCCCATTTGTTGTTCAAAGCCGTCAGCGGTGAGTTTACGCGGTGTGGCCATGACGCCAGCATTGTTCACCAAAATATCCAGTTTTTGTTCCTCAGCCTTGAATCGTTCGGCAAATTGACGCACCGATGAGAGCGACGAGAGATCCAGAGTGCGATTGAAAACATTGGTATTCTGGGTTTTCTCAATGATCTCCAAACGGGCTGCCTCACAGCGAGCAGCATCACGACAGGCCATATACAGGCGGGCACCTCTCCTTGCCAATTCCATGGCTGTTTCTTTGCCAATGCCAGTGTTACAGCCTGTCACGATGACAACTTTGCCATCTATGCGATTGGGTTTGCGATAGAAGGGACCCTCAATCAAACGTCTGATGAGATACATGATTAGGCAGGCAACTAAACACCAAAAGGCAATTTCAATAATCCAAGCCCAGGCTCCTTCAAAACAGATTTTCTTAATCTCGTCTTGGACTTGTTGTTGTGGATTTTCCACATCCGACATTTCGCGCTGGCTGGCCTTGTTTCCGAAAAAACTCAAAATATTTGCTAAATAGTTTATTAAACAAAACTTTTTCTTTTCGATTTTTTCAATTTTGAGTTGGCGTACTGACTGACTGACTAACGGAGTGGTTGGTTAGCTGATGGAATGCACACTCGCGTAATAATTTGTATATTTACAAGACGACAAGGCGGCGGCGCATGCGCATACCTCCGGACTCAGGCGAGAAACTTGTTGAATTAACACGAACAAATAATGCGATACACGATAACAACAAACAAAAATGAACGAACCAACGAACACGAAAATAAAACTTTCTATAGAAAATTTCGTTTTGTGGCCCTTGTTTGGTTGGTCGGATGGTTGGTTGCACGTCGAATGTTATGCCATGCCACCACTTTAAAGCGTTACAGCGAAGCTCTTTTTGGCTTTGATTGAGTGAGGAGTGACTTGTGACTGACGGCTTGATTTTAATTTTTGTTTTTGGTATTAGAGCTTAACCCGGGCTAGCTAACCAAAAGGTATGTGGAAATTGCCCAAAAAAACAACTGCGAGTTATGTTCGGAAGCCACTTTTTAAGTAACGTGAAAAGACGACGCGTCAACAAGCGTTCACTCTTGTACACTGATCCACACTAACTTACTGAGATTTTGGTTAATACCTGTCTAGTAGGCCAAATCGTCTTAAAAGATATTCATGTTGTTGCCAACTATTTTGTTGTTGTTGGTATTTCTTTCTTTCCTTTCCTCTTTCGGTGAATGCATTTTGTTTACAACATAATTTTGTGCTCTTTCACTCTCGCGCTTGGTCCGGGAGTTAATGGGACTCTTGAGGTAAAGATTGGCCTCAGTACACATTAGGGAAGAGTTGTGTGTTATGCTCTGTTTGAAACCAAGTTAGACAGTGGGCTTGATTATTCATATTTATTCAAGTAAGTATTCAAACAAGTGTGCCTTTAATATAATTTGATGAAAATGGTAATAAAATCCGACCATATGATTACCTACACAATAGCCTAACTTTCAGCGGATCTATATTCCGAGCATGGGCAATATTTGACCATATTTGCTCCCTTACATCGATTAGAAGTCAAAAGTTCCTCTTTCTTACCCTGGCATATTTTATGGATATTACTTGGCGATATTCGGCATATAAGTGGGGCCTTAAATCAACCAGAAAAAAGAGACACAAAACACCTTTAGGTGTTTTCATCTAATCATTACCGAAACTTATAGGATTCGTTCTTGACCATAACCGGAACTTCATGTACAATTGCAAAGCGGTTCTCGTGACTGCCCTCTCTCTAGTAGGGTAATACTAAACAATATTGGAATATGTAGACACCGGGAAGTTCTAAACATAACTTTCGCATCATACAACACAATAATTGATATCAATTTAAAGGTAGATCGCTCCTCTTGGAAATTTTGTCAACATCTCCGGTCAAAGTCCTTCAGGTGTAAAATATATACGCCACAGACTCAAATTTTACTATTTCTGGGTCAATTTGTTACGCTAAATATTGACCTTCCACATGAAAGCTGTCATAATATTCTACAGTCAGATCTCATTCACCTCGTACAATTTCGTGGTGTTCGGGTCTAGAGCGATCAGAAAAAGTCGACAAAAATAAAGTTTTTGGTCCACTTCACCTCCTAAAATCGATTATTACCAAAAACCATAGGGGCCTTAATCGGTCCGAACCGCCTCACTTAGTCAAAGAAAGATATGATCAGTTTACTAAAAGATGGGCCAATATTTCGCGGCTTTACAAACTCTTGGGGTCACACAAAGCTATAATACCTTGACAACGTAGTTATAGTTTGGATTTTGTTTACGTTCAAGGCCTGTTAATTACAGTCCAAATTGTTGTCGTTAGACTTGAGGTAAAACAGCTGACATTCGCTTGCCGGGTGTACTTATTAATAGCTCTTGTTTATGTTTCCATCATGACACAATAAATAGGTAGTTCATTTAGCGCTGCTGATGTCCCGATTAACTGTCAAAGTGCGTAATTTCTACTTGAATTCGATAGGCAATGTTGCCAATCATGTGAAATATTATAAGAACAAAATTGAGAGATTGCATCATGTGTTTCCATAATGGAGGTTAATTCACAATAATGAATTTTGACAGCAAACTTAGGAAGCAGCTGATTACCAGCTGGTCTCTCTGGGTGATCTATACGTCTCTTCTCTAATTCGAAATTCCAAAACGATTATGTTGATCTGGCTTTTTCATTATACAAATGGCCTCGTTAAAGTAGTATTCCAAAATATTCGGAACAATTCATTAGAAATTATATTTTTTTAATTTACTTTCCTTTCTCTTTCTTAATATGACTCCATTTTCTAAGCCTTTCCCCACTAAATCACAATTTACCCACTGTGTGTATTACTGTTACCAAACAAATTATCTCTCTTTCTCCATCTCTGAGTAAAGTACTCTCTCCACTAAGAAAGTAGGATGTTTGTTTAAAACTGGTTTAAAAAGGGTTTACAAAAATATTGTTGACTTTAAATTGCTGTTGTTTTATTTTTTATTGCATGATTTTGTGTTTTTTATTATTTAAAAAAAAAATACTTATTTTGCAAACAAGTTCTATTATATTTTACAAAATAAAAACATTTGTTTTTAATATTATTCCAAACAATTAACTTTTGTGCTCTTTTTTGTTATGAAGTTTACATAACTCAGCTATGGCTGAGTGCGTGCTCTTCTTCGTCGTTAATGGTTTTACTCACAGCAGAGGCTCTCTCTTTCTCTTTTGCTGATCGAAATGTAAACAACATAATCGTACGATTTGTTGGCGATTATTATTATTTGTTTGTTGTTGTTGTTGCAATTTTACTTAATTGTGTTAATTATTCAAGTTTTTATTTATGTTAGTAATGTGTAGAGGTAGGGGAAAAGGTAAAGGGTGTGGGCTTGATGGATCACCGTGGTGCTGCACCTGCTGTGGTTGTTTTTTTACTTTCGCTTTCATTTTGATGGCTGTGGTGAGTTTCAAGGCGTCTTGACTCTTTTTTCAAAAGAGTTCACATTGGGGAGTTTATCTCTCTCTTGCATCAGTTTTAAATGATGCTGCAGCTGCATCCAATTTTACGTTTGCTTTGGATTTTCATGATCATGCCGTTCAAGAGAAAATACCAAAAACCTGTTTTGTTTTCATTCCTATCACCCAATAGGCTTCTTTTGTTTTAATGGTTGGTTTGATAGCTTGGCTTCTTAAGGCGAAAGAAAGAAAAAAAAATAAAATAAACGACATTGGTTCACCGGTAGCCAAACACCCTATGGCGGCATGGTTAATTGTTATAAAATTATATATTCCAAAATAAAAAAAATGCAAAACAAAATTAATTATAACAGCATGAAGATTTCAATTCAAATTTCATTTCCTAAAAACTTCCCATAGTAATTACATAAAAACAGTTTATTTCCCACTATAGGGTATCTTTTTTGTTGTTAAATTACCCAGCATGGAAAACCAGTTCATACCTCTGGCTATATAACTTTCTTTATTTCCTTTTAACTGCATAACATTGTTGCTGCTTGGCCAACGCTAGTTTTCGTTTAATTGGTCATATTCTTTCATTTGTCTTACTTACCAAAAATGGCAAACATAACTTTAACAAATTTTACAAGCGAAACCGAAAAAATTGCACAGTTTGAAAATTATTTTAGCCATATTACAAAAATATGAAGCCATAACAAACCCACACAGTTACATTTTATAATTTAAAATTTTTATGATAATTATTTTTTTTCACAAAATAAAAATGCAAATTAATTGCATTGCAGTATAATTTTATAACATTGCACATCATATGTGGGGACCAGTTTTACAAATGCCTAGTAAATTTTAGTTAGTTCGTAATTTTTAGTAAGGAAATAAAAAAATAGGCATAAGGTGCGACTGCATCGTGTCGCTCGTTCCCATGAAAATATCGATGCTATAAGGAAAGTGTTGGCGAAAATCCGAATGTATCGCTCCTCGTCGTTTCATGGGAATTAGGACTGTCTTACGGCACAGTATTACGTATTTTTCATTTAGATCTACACCTACATCCATATAAAGCTGGAGATCACGCAAACTAAAAGCAGCTGGCCATTCAAAACGTCGTAGATACGAAGAATGTATGCTTGAACATTAAACGGTGCGCGGCAATTTTTCGAACAACATTTTCTTCAGCGATGAAGCACATTTCTAATTCGGTGGCTATGTTAATTAGCAAAATTGTCGAATTTTGGGTCGTGAGAATCCTCAAATAATTGAAAAAGGCAATTCCATTCAGAAAATATTACTGTTTGGTGCGCACATTTGTCCGAAGGTGTCAATTCGGAGAGTTTTGGTCATATGGGTTTCTACTCTCTACTTAACTAGTTGGAAATCTAACGTAGCGGAATGTAACAATATGGCGCTCAACATGGGGCCTAAACCCATCATCTGAGATTAACTGAGCTGGTTGTGAATCCACCATGGCGACACCTTAAGCGAATCGTAACAGTATAGCGCCCCGACAGAGCCAGCTGAATGGAACCCCACCATATCAGCGATTTATGAGGGAAGAAATAGAATGGCGCCCAACGTGTGGGCTGAACTCACGACTCTGATATTAAGAGTCTCATACCTTAACGATTATGATCTAACCACAGCGCCACGTGAACGGAACGTACCAGTATGCTCCCAATGTGGGGCCCAAACCCACAAATCTGACATTAAGAGTTCCATGTTCTAATGACAGAGCTAGCTGGATGGAATCCCACCATAGCGCCGCATTAGGCGAAAAGTAACAGTATGGCGCCCAACATGGGGTCAGAACCTATGACTCTGGCATTAGAGTCACAAGTTCTAACGACTTAGCTAGTTAGAATCTAAACATAGCGTCGTATTAAGCGGAACGTAATAATATGGCGCCCAACGAGTCTGAATTTAAGATTTTCGTTTTCTAACGACTGATCTAGATGGAAACCCAACATTGAGCGGTATTAAGCGAACAGTATCAGTATGGCGCCCAACGTGGGCCTGAAACCACGAC